AATGGTCCCGAATGATACCGCACTTGTGTCCCTTTGAACTTCAGTCGTATAATAAATCTCTCATTAACCAAGCTTGCTCGGGACCATACTGGAAGAATATCGGCCCTCGGTCTTTTTTATACAGACCTCGCTACGCTCAGTCTGTACTGTCAAGACCTCAGGCTGATATTCCCCCAGTAGGGCCCTCGTGCTTGGTTAATTAGATATATGTATTAAGTAAAAAATCAAAACATGCATTTGACCTCTCACTTTCATTGAATCATCTTTATCATTATCATGTTAAAGTTTTGTTGCAAGTCATTTTACATCTTCATAAATAGTTCTTTTTTGTTATATGCATAGTAAACACAAGTGGTTAAAAGTCATCATCAATGTCTTGTTTCCAGTTGACACTATCCTTGTGATTATCTGAACTGACATGTGATCCATTACTTGGGGTAAATGGACCAAGCCCCATTGACCTGAGATGGGCATCATGCATTTTCTTTGCACGGCGTGTCCTTGCAGACATTTCCCTGTTTGCAACTTGAGGAGCTGCAATTAAATGAACAATTTTGTTTTATTGAGTGACTGATAAAGGTATGAATGGACACTTATCATCAAGTCCAACAGATTGATACCCATGATTTTTTAGCTACATACCTCCTGCCATCCACAGTTTGCTGTTCAAGACATTCTTTTTTTGTACCATGTCAAATTCATCAGTTGCAGGGGTGCGTCTTGTGTCTAGGATGTCAGGTTGATCAACTCTTGAGGTGCCATGGTTACCTTGGCTGAACTTGGGCTGATCTGAGTATGAGAAGTTTCCTCGACTTGCAATACTCCATGATTTATGATCTGAATAAGTAGAAGAGGTATTCAAGTCACTACATGTATAGTACGGCTGTATGTAAGCATGACTTCATGATCTTAAGAAAATCAGTGAGGGGACCTGGGGCCTGTTTCTTGAAAGTCTGGGCACTAACTTAACAGGCTTAAAAGCCACATTTTAAAGTCAAAGGTTAAAGAATAGAGAAGCAGGCTCTGCCACCCTAGCCAATCCATTTTGTTTCCTTGGCTGCTAGTTCTATTGTATAATTCTCAAAAAATTTGAAACCCTCACTTTTAATGAAAACACAACAGCTTTATAGGCCTGTCATTAGTTACCAGGACCTTTGAGAAACAGGCCCTGGGTGAAGGTTTGGCCCTTTCAAGAGGAAGAACCTCTAATAATAATAATAATCATGGTACCTAGAATAATCACAATTATTAAAAACTGGCTCATTGGATAATGCAATTCAAGACTTTTTATTGGCTCAGCCATTATGGTATATGAGCCAATATACCATAATCTAATATCTGTACATTGTAACATCCGGTTTCTTCTTACAAAATAAAGTCGAGAAGATTTGTCTTATATCTTGGGAGCGTTTTTTAATAAAACAATTATTCCACTCTCGCTTGTTGGATATGAGATGATTATAGCCAACTCGGCGCTACGCACCTCGTTGGCTATCTATCATCTCATATCCAACGCGCGCTTGTGGAATAATTGTTAATTACACAGCTGACTGTCAGTAAGCAGGTGAAACACACTAATGATTGTCAAGCTAAGAATGAAATTCAAATAGAAAAACAACACACCATACTGAATTAAATAAGTAATAAAGGTATTCATATACAAAGTAATTTCAAAAATTTACACTGAGGCCTAAAATGAATTTGAAGTCAAAATTATTTGAAAGTAGTTTTGTTTTCACCTTTCTTCTGGGTATAAAACCATAGTCTTTAAACTAACTTAAAGGTAAAAAACATGTATCAAACTAAAGAAATAATGAAACATGAGGTGGAGCACCTGTGCAAAAGTTAATTGACTGTTTATTTCTAGTGTCATTTGCTGATACCACAGGGCAAGTAGAAAGGTATGCTAAATGAAAAGGTTTTTCCCATGACTCTCTAATTGTAACTGTGATTGAAATTCAAAACCCAAAAATATGCCTGTCACACTGTCTTGGCCTTAAATCTTAATAACTTTTCAGATACAGATACAGCTGCACTGATTAAAATATTCTTGTTACAATACAGTAATATTTGCTTTGAAATGGAGCAAATTCAAAAGGTTTATAAAATTTGAGGGTATCACAATTTTTAGTTGGCCTCTCACACTTAGAGAGATCTGTCACTTCTATGCATTCATCTAAAAATTTTCCGGTAAAATGACAGTTACTTTTAGTGGCTTCTATTTGTCAAGGTTTATGTCCACACTATTTTTACCCTTGATTACACTTATGTTTGGGTTAGAAATTGCCAAATTCCAGAAACTTTCATGTACTTTTGGGGAATGGCCAAGTAATTTCTACAACCATGAAAAATTATTTCAAGACTTTAAACATAAACTTATGTGTCACACTTTTTTTTCAAGAAGAATTTTCTCCATTATCAATAGGGATTTATAACATTTGTTAACAAATTTTCATTTTCTGATATTGCCATTTTCTTCTGCTTGATAGACAGAAGTAATTTCAATTTGGAAAACATTTTTAAAACATGACATCAGAGAATTAAAATTGGTGAAATGATCTCAAGGTATTACACTTTAATACCATCAGTGATCATAAAAATGCTGCATCAATGCAGAATAGTGACCACAGCCCCCCATAGTACATGAAAAAAAGTGTTTTTATTGTTGTGATATAAACCATACAAAATCACCAAGCTATCAGTAACCGGCGCTTGAAATTAAAGAAAGAAGTACTAACAAGTCAATTAATGCCAAATGCTTAGCCCCAAGCAAATTACATTTGTATGCCTTCCTCGGTTAAAATACATCTTTACATTCCTTAGTTTCCAAAGTAAACAGAGCAAACAGTAACAAGAGCTGTTAGCATCCATAAACATAGGTAAAATTTGCCCAATTTTATCCGTCAACGGGATCGATGAATTCATGATTACCACAGACACGTTAACCCTGACATAAAATGGACTTTGACACAATCGGTGTTGAAATGGTTTTCATAATAAACCCCGAGAAAACTGAATACTTTCAGTACACACGTAGCTTACGGCTGGTGACTTGCTCAAAATATAATTTAAGTTAAAAAATGTAAACTCTACTGCGCTTACCGTTACGGGGGCTATGAAAGTCTCCGTTAGCGTCATGGCCCTTGTTCAAGATTGAACTATTCACGTCGCCCGGTCCTTTAAGATAAAATTACGCGATAAGTTACCAAGATACAAGAAACGGTGTTTTGCACAAGTCTCTATTCCGTATGTCTTGAAGTAACCTTCGGGTGAAGTACAATAACGGCACTCCAACTAACAAAAACACCAAAACATTGTCATTTCTCAAGAGACATTAAAAATTCCGTTCCGCGATTACTTGTGGATCATTACGAAGGATAATCTTAAAAAAAAAATGCACGATTTAACTTACCGCTCAAACCTCCGTGCCTGGAATAATACGACGTTGAAGATTTGTTTGAGTTTAATATGGTTCCTTTCTTTCCCGCCTGGCTGACTTGGACATTTTTGCGAATACTCCATACATCATCTAATTCACAACCTGCGAAAAACAACACCAAAGAAATATATTGTGAAAGAAATAGGTGATGAAATATCTAGGTAACAGGACGGTAGTATAAACACGAAATTCATAAACAATCACTTTAGCGCCAATATATTCTTACCTGGCGAGCTACGGGTATCTTTGGTTTTCAGAAACTTATTCTTAGGTTGTAAAGCCCGCTCTATACTACCTCCATGATCATTATCAGTGCTGTTGCCCCACGGATCAACTTTTTTGTTTTTTCCAGAGTACAGAAATTTATTTGGTCGACCACCTAGTAGAAAACAGTGTAAATTAACAAAAACTTCGAGAGAAATCTGGCCTCTTATCCAGCAGGGCCTTACTGAAAAGTGATTCAGCTCTTACCGTCAAAGTTTTGGTCGCCTGATTGTCCAAATCCCCGTCCTGTCGAGGACATAATTCCTCCTCATCGTGTCTTCGCTGATCGTAGCGAGGAAGGCATGAAGGCGAAGAGCGTTGCAAGTTAAAACTCATGTTTCGTATCCAGGCTCTTCTCTATGTAGACACAGTTGACTTATTTTAATCGCATACAACAGGACCCTCATTTAGGCATTTGTTCATAGTTCTTTTTCAACCCTGACTCCTTTATTTAAATTTTAAACTATGGAGATTAATGTGAATTTGAACATAGAATAAATCGCTACTATTGTTTTTATCAGCCCAGCCAGCCAGATGGTCTCCGTTTCAAGAATTACCCTAGTACTTCCCGTCTAGGGTAGGCTTAGGCCGGAACCGCTTCGGCCTGTCATTCACCTTGACAACTCAAGGACGCCGACTGAAAATGTGCACGCTTTTTACAAATAATCTTGAAGACTGCAGTTTTGTGTTGTTTCTTTTAAAAAGCTCAACAGTACCTTATCATTAGTCAGTGATGTCGAGGGCATCCCCAAGAAGTACACGACCATCTTCAGAAAATTTAAAGAAAACACGAAAAACGCAAGCTTTCTCAACGGAGAACGAACTTGTAAGTGCCCGAGGAAGCACGAAACCTCGAATGGCACCCTCCGTGATTGATCATGGATATCATACAGATAAATACAAAACTTACTACAGTGCTTGGACGCCGGTTTTAAACAGTGCGTCAAACAGTAAGGTAAAGTAGCTTTGCAAAGTGTCAAAGAGTAATTGAAATTTTACGGTTGTTTAGTTAAATGGTGTGTTTAAACAACCAATTTGAGCTCCAGTGTTATGGAAATTACACAGTGTGAGTTTGAAAGCGTCCTTGTGATGATTTCAAGTTTAACATTGTTTTATTTACTCGGTTTGTTTTAGATTTTCGTAGAGCGCTTGGATTTGATCGGACACTGGGTAAGGAACGAATAAAAGTAGAATTTTTAGACGGAATGTTTAGGCGATACAATGTTACACTGTTGAAGTGTTTCGTTTATATTGATAACCGCTAGAAACTTTGCGCTCATGTTTAATTTATGATATGAGACTTGCGGTTGAGTATTCCCAGTTTGAAGCAGTATTTCAAGTGCAATGTGGGTTAACTTGAAAAATTAAACCTAAAATAAAGCTAAAATGTTGAAGGTTCCTTAACAAATTTGTATTCAACTTGTTTGGTTGCACCGAGGAAGGATTGTTCTTACACAAAGACAGACAAAGAAGTGACTCAAAATTGTGTGTATTTGGCCGGTTGTTTCTTTGCTCTCCCTCCCTCCCTCTCTGCCTCCCTCCCTCCCTCCCTCCCTGGGGACTTTTCTCCACCCCTCAGGGACTCCTCATTTCATTATTATCGCGTTAACTTTGAGAAGTGACTAACATGTAACTTTTCCCTATGATATCCATACATTATCCAACAGACAGATAATGAAAATACTTAAAGTTATCAGAGAGAAGTTGTTCTCTTGATCTAACACCAAATTCTCATAACCAATTTACAGGGAAATGTATAGCAGCTAGAGGGGATAATTAACAATCAGATCTTGGGAGTAAAGGGTTAAAGATTTTCAAACAGATTCTGTCTCATCTGTTTGCTGTGTTGTACAAGAGAGATGTGGAAAGGGATATTTATGAGAATTTAGCATGGTCTTTTATCAAATCAAAATCCAAAGCAATTTTTTGCTTAGATTCTCATTACATATGAGATTGGGACTGTTATCACAATTCTTCACAAACTAAATATTGCATAGTCACTGCATAACATTTGCCATGCACGAGAGTCAAAACATTTAGTACCATCGATAATTTAATAAATTATTAAAAACTGGATCATAGGATAATGCAATTCAAGACTTTTTATTGGCTCAGCCACTATGGTATATGAGCCAATATACCATAATCTAATTTCTGTACATTGTTGAATCCGGTTTCTTCTCACAAAATAAGGTCGATAAGATTTGTCTAATATCTTGGGGGCGTTTTTTTAAATAAAACAATTATTCCACTCTCGCTTGTTGGACATGAGATGATTATAGCCAACTCAGCGCTATGCACCTTATTGGTTATCTATCATCTCATATCCAACTCGCGCTCATGGAATAATTGTTAAATATAGATTCTTGTGTTTTTCCTTATGATATGTCTACATTGTTTCAAAACAATCCATGATGAAATCCACCTTTTACCAATTTTTTTTGCAGTTTTCTATGTGGACAGATGCACAACGGAAGAAATTTCTTACATTTATTCTAAAGAGATGCACCAGATCACAGTTAAGATTTGTAAATGAAGGATGGTTCCAAAAACAGTTACCAATTCTCCATTTAGACTTCACAACTGCTTTACCACGGTTCATATCCACGTATATTTTTTCATTTTTGGACCCAAGAAGTCTTTGTCGTGCTGCACAAGTGTCGTGGCACTGGAAGTTTGTATGTGAACAAGATGTCATTTGGATGCCAAAATGTTTACGGTATGGTTGGTATTTGCCCTATACACCAGGAAGTAGAGAATTTGGATGCTGGAAACACCATTACATCATGTGCACTAGCTCCCTTGATATGGAAGCTCCATCAAGGATGGTACTAAGTTTTTCTTTTTTATCTGATGTATTAGAATTTATATATATGTGAAGGAGTATAACTCATTTACACTATAAATAGGCCACTAACACAGTGTAAATTATAGGCAGAGAGCTATGGTCAATTTGCTGACAACAGTCCTAGGGTGACTCAAGAAAAGATCAAACAAAAAGCACAAGAAAAGAGGAGGATCAGAGGAGCAAAATATTACAAAGAAGGTATATAAGGAGATGAACTGTAATCTGACCTTGCAAGCAAAACAAAAATCCAGATTTTTAATATAAATATAACAAGATACCACTGCCTTTATAGGGCTACAGCAGGTATCATTTTTTCATCTCAATCAAAACACAGAAGACTGTTTTTGTCCATGGTAGCTTCTTTTTTCACCTTTTCTTATTACTGTCTCTATTTTGTAGTTGATAAACCATAATAATTGTCACCCACTCCTTAAATTTACCTTTGTCATGCAAAACCTCCTTCTTTGTGGTACTACTGTTATTAACCTCTAACTAAGCCAGAAATACAGTCATATTAATTAACTATTATTTTGCCTAAATTGCAGTAAAGTAAATTCTGTAGGAGCAGTGCATCATCTTGTGTGGACTAAAGCAAAACCATGCAGCCCTCTGAGCTAAGGCAATGGCTTTGATACATAACATGTCAGTGTGCTAAAATTCTATGCCAAAAAAGAGACTGTTGATAGTTAAATCGTCCTTTTGTCTCCCATTAGAGACTCGCCGTCCACCTTGGTTGGACACTGATCCCCAACCCAGGGACTTGGAGAATTCACGGAAGGCTATGCTTTATGGACATAACCCAAATCAGCCCTATTCTCCTGACCAACTGAGAATGGAGAGACTGGGACTGAGTACCAGACCCTTGCACAGGAGGTCACAGACTGCACCAGCACACATGGCAACAGAGAGGGTCATGAAAGTAATGACTGAGTTTAAAATACTGTAAAATGAGTCAGCACATTTGTAGATGCAAATGCAAAATTAAGATGAATACAGCATAAAATTAACATAATTTCTTTTTTTAATGATAATGAACGATTATGGTGGTGTTATTCACCCTCATCCTGTCACACGGAGAACAGAATCAAACATCCTAGGCTTATTTTTTGTCCTCTGCAGATGACATCGAAAGGGAAAAGTGCAAAATTTTGTTGGCTTGATACTTGATATAGACAAAATCTCTATAACAGGTTGCTGCCTGTGCACCCCCTGGGGGTTGGTGGTCATAAAATGTAAAGGGTTAGACTTCACTCCGCTTCTAACTGTCCACCTCACTGTAAATATATCTTATTAACCAAGCACGAGGGCCGTACTGGGAGAATGTTGGCCTGAGGTCTTGACAGTACGGACCGAGCGCAGTGAGGTCCGTACAAAAAAGACCGAAGGCTGATATTCTTCCAGTATGGTCCCGAGCAAGCTTGGTTAATAAGAGATTTATTATATGACTGAAGTTCAAAGGGACACAAGTGCGGTATCATTCGGGACCATTCGGGACAGTGCCCAGTCCAATACTTAGAGAATATTGGACTGGCAATAGAGCATTTTGATTGGTTGATTTTAGTTATTGGCCCTCTGACTGCCTGAGTCATGTAATAATGGGAGTTACTTCATCCCTTACTTAGTCACAGTTTACTTTGACCTCTTAACTAGGTGTCACCCTTTCCTTTGTTCTTTGGGACTTATTGGAAGTTTGAAATTCTCTTTGTCTTAGATCAGCAAAACTGTTGACATCAACGGTAATGTTATTGAGGAAGGAAAAGAACCAGTTCATTCTTCAAAGTTGACACTCACAGAAGCTCTTGCCACTGAGTCTGGAGGTACACTTCCCTTGTGTTATCACTTTACTGAGCCAGTTCAGACACTTGTTAATTATCTTTGTCTGCACATTGTCTCTAAGGGATGGAACAACTTAAAGAGATTGCTTGAATAGGTTGTTCCCGATTTTAAATACAGGCACTAATGCTTATTATTATAAATTCTCTTATGTCATACCTACAGACAATAGATTTTATGTAAACTATGTAGAAGTGACATCATACCCACGAACAATAGTTTTATGCACTCTTGTCTTTACCAGTGCAGCTCAGAAATATGTAGAATAAAACAATTATTGGATTCGGTTTTTGCGTGACAGTAATAATTATCAAGGCTTCAAATTGTATTATCTGCCTTAGCCTTGGACTCTGGCAGATAACACAAACTTTGGACTTGATAAGTAATGCTATCATGCTCAACTTCATCCAATAATTGTTAATTGACCCCATGGTATTAGTAATAAGGAATTAAGACGTTGTTTTGGCTCTCAACTGAAATGCACTTCAGTATGCAGCTACAAAATAATTATTTGTGGTGTTTGTCAACTTAATTTTGTATTTAATGAATGTGTAGTGGATCAGACGTGGCCTCAACCAGTTCCTTCTTCACCAGTGCGACGGTAGGTTGTCATGTCATAATATTAAATTCATTTTAAAATTTATCTCTGCCATTCTGTCTTATATAGATCAAAGCCATCACTTATTTACCAATTCCTTCATATTTCTCGCTCCCAACCTGGTTTCTCTTTACGGTGCAATGTGGATGCCCTACTCACTCAACCAATCAGAGTCAAAATTACTCTCCTCGTGACGTGATCGTTTGCTTTTCCCGCGTGTAAGGCTGATTACGCAAGAAAATTGTACCGAAGAACAATTTTGAACTGAGTGTGGAAAGTCCTCGGGGATTGCTTTGGTTTTACTTTACTTTGCACTGTGATTGGTCCAGAAAATTGGGGCCATCCTCTCAACCAATCAGATGCAAAACAAAGAATAATCGCGACTGTGTAATTCTTTTTTTTTCCCCGCGTTTCAAGCAGTTTGTTTTCACTTTGAGTTCTCATTGGCTAGTGATAATGTAAACTGTTGTTCTCGGATTGGTCGTTGGGATTACTCTGCTACTGGATTTTGGACACGATTGAAAACTGCACTATTGACGATTGACGTTGTGTCGTTAACCAATGACACTCGAAGATCTCGTAGTGAGCGAAGGCCTTGAGCGTTAATGTAAGTTAACGTACGCTTTTTACCGACAGAAACTTGGAAACGACTTTATCTTTACTTTTACAGACAAGATCTTACGTGTGGAATTCATCCTAGCTTGCACGACTCAATGCTTACAAAAAGAAGTTCTCAGGTAAGAAACATTTCAGCGTTCAGTTTTTTTTTTTTTTAATCCGCTATTTTTTGTTTAACTTAGTTTTGCATTTTACTTTTAATTGGTAGCTTTTCAAATGCAGAAAAATTATTTTAATTCTATTGTTGTATTTTTTTTTCATGAGAAATACCACATTGCCAACAGCCTTATTTATGATTTATGATTTACAATTCCAGGACTTTCCAAGCTCCCCTAATCCTGCCGTTATATTTATTTCATCAGAAATCCCAGCATCTGAGGTAGGTTAACCTTCCAGTGAAGCCCCAAATAAATAGGCGTGATATGCACATCATGAAACTTAAAAGAAAATTTCTTTTCTCCGAAGAGAGAGCATTTTATCGCTTGAATTACATTTTGAACACTAGTGTCCGATTTTCAATCTGGACACTAGTGTCCGATTTTTGATGTTGGACCCTATTATCCGATTTTCGGATTTTGGACACAGGTGTCTGATTTTCGATTTTGGACACAAGTGTCTGATTTTTTATTTTGGACACTAGAGCCTGATTTTTGGTTTTGGACACTAGTGGCCGATTTTTGATTTGGACACTTATTTCTGATTTTCGATTTTGAACACTGCTATTGTTGTCATTCCTATAATTATTGTTAATATGATTTATTTGTAACTCTTTGATTATTGGTTGAATTTCAGTTAATCATTGTATTTTTTAATTATCTTTCTCTTGTGAAACCCAGTACTCATAAATAATTGTAATGATGTATTTATATTGCGCATTGTCCTTAGGGCTATGGTGAGCATTTTGAGCAGTTTGCCAAGTTTTGAAAGGGAAATTTGCAGGTGCCCCTTTTTAAGGAATTTTGGAAACAGGGCCAGACCACAATTCGGGAGAAGTGCCAGGGCTCTTTATAGTCTCTTTCGAAGCAGTACAGGGACCTTCTGTTTTTCGTCCTTCTTTTTGGCTGTGAATACAAATCTTCTGCAACACCACCTTGTAGTGTCAAAATACAACCTGCCATGAAAATTGTGCCTATATATTGTAGTTGCATGCAGTCTTACACTGCTGACTTTTGTATAATCTCATCGAGTCATGACTTTTCCATCCTCTGATTAGTTATTGTTAGAAGCTGTACAGTTTGGAGTCACTGCAATCCCCTACGAATATGAAGGCACAACCTTAGACGCGTTGATGGAAAAGTTAAGGCTCGCTCTGCAGGGAAGACAAGCCAAGTGAGAATTGTCTGATGATTTTTATTACTGTAGGAAATAGACAACTTTTTTGAGAGACATGTTTCGGCATTCTTATGCCATCTTCAATCAATGAGTCACAGAACGTGAGTAATTATATAACAGAATAAAGGCTGATAGTTTCGAAAGAAACTGTTTGGGGCTGCGTCGGTGGGGGTAACGAAATAATTTGGATATATCAACAAAGTTGAAATGGTAAATTGGCCACCGTAACGATTACAAAAGCTGACGTTTCGAGCGTTAGCCCTTCGTCGGAGCGGACAAGTATAGAACAGACAAGTAGATGAATAAAATATTTACAGTATGATGTAATAGACGTAATACAAAAGCGGGTACTAATTACAACGTGACACCAAACATCAAAGGTGTGGACTAAAACGCTAAAAAAGTATTATAATGCTGTAATTGTTTGTTAAATTCAGGTTTGATCTTATTTATATAAAAAGCTTCTTTGAGTTTTAAATCAATTGAGTTGTTCGCAGAATCCAGAATACTAATTCAAGAAGGAGATGTGTTGAAATGCTTAAAAATATGCGAGTTTTTATTGCTTTCCGTGTGCTCCTTTATCCTAGTAGAGAAGTGGCGACTAGTTTCGCCAATATAACGGGAATTACATCCCGCATTGATAAACTACCATGGATTTTAGAGCATCAGGAGTACGATCTTTAACACTGAACATGTTTTTAATTTTGAAAGAAGTGAAAACTAGTTTGATAAAAAGGTCCGATTTACAAAAGCGCTTAGTGAGTTGTCGGAGTTTAAGGTTCGCTATTTTAGAATAATAGCCGACAAAAGGGAGTTTAAAGTAACGTGTATTATTGTCATCAATGTTCCGGCTATTTTGAGAGGAGGACCCGTCAAGATACCGCTTGAAAGTTCTTTCAATAATATGCGAAGGAAAAGAATTACGTTTTAAAGTGTCGGAAAGTTTCTTAAGATCGTTTTGAAGGCCGGAAGAGGTGTTGTTGATTTGTAGATACGGTCAATAAGAGTTCGGATAAGGCCAATTTTGTAGCATGATGGAATAAAACTAAAGAAATTTGTTAGGAGACCAGTGTAGGTTTTTTTTATGAAAAACTGAAAAAACACAATCATTCGAAGAGTTGTCGATAAATATATCAAGAAAGGAGAGTTTACTATCATTCTCTTTTTCGAAAGTGAATTTTACATTAGAATCCATTAAAAATTTTTGCTGAAGCGTGATTGGATGTATCTTGTGACGTTATAAACAAAACTCCAGCTGAAACAGGGGAATATCCCGACGGCAGTAATAATAATAATAATAATAAAAGTCTTTAGTATAACTGCCCAGGTGATTATACAGACCCGTTTGAGAATTTATTTACGATGAGAGGGTTCTTTGCTGTCGTTGCATATGCAAGAAGAGAAAATTTTCTTGTCACTTAAGTCGTACCAGAGAACACTACAAAAGTCAACTCGAACCATTTCGTGAGAATTTTTGACGCTCGGCAAAACATTTTCGAAGGATAAAAAGCATAACTTCCCCTTCATTTGGCGCGGCATTTGCGCGTGTCTATTTCGTTGGATGTCGTACTCTATAGTTTTCCGAGTTTGAAGTTCTGAAGTCGAATCAGGTTAACTGGATCTATTACATGAGGTTGAAACCTGCTTGTAAACTTCTTTTATATTTACGACTTCGGCTCGAAGATAGAACTTGGCCGACATTCGCATTCTTGACCTTTAGCTGGGTTGATAATGCACATGTCTTGCACTCTCTCACTGAGAGATAAACTGTGATTTCTGAAGTTCTATTCTCTTAATTTTTTGTTCTCCCACTAAGGTGCGTTGGTCTGTTTGCTTGGGGAGACTCTGGCACTATTCGTCTTGTGAAAGGTTAGTGACTAAGTGTAGCTGAGCTACCGTTTATTTTTTCTTTCCTTATTTTAAGGATCTGAAATCATCTCTTTACGTCTAAGTTTTTACCTTAGCACCTTAATTTCTGCTTTCATATCCATGTGATTAACCGCAGAAATATTTCTGTGACACATTGCGAATTTACATTGAAAGAGGCTTTTGTCAGGGAAAGCAACCGTCCTCCTGTTGGGTTTCTTGAGCGGGTAACTGGAATAGTGTTTTGTTCACAGGTAAAACACTGTCAGAAGAGACTGTAAATGAACCAAGCATGCGACACTTCTGGGAAACAATAACGACAAGTGTTACGGCGCGAGAATCTGGAGGTCACGTGGACATATTTATACCTCTGGTGGAAACAGGTGAGGCCGGGTGTCTGATTCGTCAAATAGAAACCATCATTTCATCCGTCAATTCATCAATCATCGCTTTGCATCGAAGGGTGAATGATTTATAGAGTCCATTGTATGCTAGATAAGTTAAGTATTTGAAACGTCGCTAGGGAGCACGTCAATGATTTACGCGCACATGGCACTTTCTGGACTATTAACCCTAAAAAAGGATATTGACCGAATTATTTACCATCTCTAAACAGAGAAAGGAATGGATCTCTTGGTACAGTTGGGTCTATTAACCGACATGCAGTTTTCCTGTCCTACGGGAATGACAGGATCCTTTGCTAGAGGTGTGGTTGTTTACAAGAACTTTACATATTAACTTTTAACCCTATACCTTTTGAGTATGTGTCTTGTTTTAAATTCAAGATAATCTCTTGTGATGTACAAGCCTGTCTTGAGCGGGACACTCAGGGGTAGTGGTTATTGCGTTTGACTTCTGTTTAAATGGTCCTCAGTGAGCTTTAGCAAGGGTCACTTGAACGGTCTGGTGTTCTGGAGGGGCAAGACACTTCTCTAAGAAAGGATAGGATAATAAATTGAAAATGCATCCAACAAAGACAAAGTACACTACAATCTGGACAAGACAAAAAATTGCAAATTCAGCAAAACAATCTCTTGACCTCTCAGTTGACGGCATACAGCTCACTAAGGTTGAATATGAACGTGTCTTAGGACTTTACATTGATAGTCATCTCACCTGGAACGAACACATTGACACAATGCGCCGAAAACTACTTCAAAGAATTGCAATTTTAGCAATACTCGGGCTTCAAAACTCGTGTTAGTCTGCAGCCGTTGTTCTTGTTAGTCTCTTTTTGAGACTTAATCGTGGTATATTTTCAGTGCTTTTCGAATGTGAAATCTTGTCTTATCTGATTCCACAGTGGAAAGCGAATGGCTATTTGTCCCTAACTCTGGTTCTCCGCCATCTTTGTATTTTAATGCAACAAAATTTGGTTCTTGGTCAAACACCGTGGACTACATCGAGGTCTGTTGTTTTAACACTTAGCAATTCATCTTGTGTCTTAGTGGAAAGAGATAGAATTTTGTATTTAGTTACTGTATAGGCATCATTTTTGTCTCTTACCCGTAGGAATGCGTTGATGTTGTGAAGAAAAATCTCGACTGTTTCTTTACTGAAGAACAGAGATATCTGGCTCAGCGTCTTGTTGGTAAGTTGGCGCGGAATAATGCCTTGGGTAACTGAATAAACTTGACGGCGGGTAGCAATTGGGAATCAGTCATAGTTCAAGAAAACTTTTGGTAAAAGAATGATGGGAAAAATGACATGGAAGGAAAACGTACGCTGACGGTTGTGCAGTCGTAAGATCTTTAAAGTTAAACTTCAAAATTCAGGTAGTATTTGCAATTTCCTCGTTACTGAGTTGTTCAAGTGTTTTAGAACTAAAATATTTCAGTTCGCGGAGAAAAAAAACTGCGTAAGGATAAACCTCTCACAGTTTACCGTCTGCACCACTAATGACCTTGAAAACTCATTGGGAAAACTTGGTATTGTTGATATATCTTTTTTAGAGGCGGTGTGACGTTTTTGTTTCAGGACAAATCACTTTCGAAGCCTTAGGGATGTGCGAGTTGTACAACGTGTCTGAGATTGCATCTGTTCTTGTTGATGCGATCGTCTCTCTCGGAAGGAACAACGCATCCAGGAATTGGGTATGGGCAGAACATTGTGTAGTTATCGCTTGTTGCGACGATTTGCAGAACACCCCTAAAAAAAATTGATACTTACGTCCCGTGCATAAGGCATGAGTTATCTTATGTCTTTAACAAATGGTAAACACCACAGCGTACACTATTGAGTTATGGATGCACGCGGAAGGTTGCTAAGCACGAAAGAAGCGTAAGCGTCGCTCGAGGCGATAGCCGAGAGCGACTCTAGCCTCTTGAGTGCTTAGCAAACCTCCCAAGTGCAGCCATAACTCAGTAGTGTACGCTGTGGTGTTTACCATTTGTTTTATAACATAACATTGATACATTGTAGCTAAAGAGTTCCCTTTTATTTAGCAAATCTTAGGTGACCAGAAAAAACAAGCGCGCGCGGAAAAATAGTCTTTGCATTTGCTCGCGTCAGCAGCGTACACCCACGGGAAAATGGGGGACGCTAAATTGACCAATCAGAGCGCGCGCTTTACTTTGGTTATGTTGTAACAACTCTTTGACTCTTTAGAGTGACTAGCATCTAATTTCTGTTCACAATATCTCCCCGAATTACACCTTAAGGTTACAAGGAGAAAGGAAATGATCAACACTGTACTCAAGAAGCTCTTGTGTGTTAAACAAATTCCATTTTAAGCACTGGAGGTAACAGTGGAGAACGGTATGGAGAAATTGCATACTGATGTTGCTGTGTAAAGTGTTAGCAAACGTTTCGACCACCCATAATTGCGCAAAATAACTTATTTTTCGACTCTTAAATAGTGCGATACCGATAGTTAAAACTATCTATAACGTGTTTTTGTAATTATATCCATAGCCATTTTTTAGTGTAACTTTTTTCGTTTCTTTTCGCTTGTGTTTCATTAGAGTGGCCCAGTACAAGGCCTAATCGATTATCTACAGAACCATGAACATAAAGACAAGAAATTGAAAAAAGTTCGTAAAGCAACGGTGAGTCGATCATTTATCCTCTGCAATACTTTTGGGGAAGGTTTGGATTTCGCCTACTGTAATCACTCGATCTAACACCGCCATCGATTTAACACTGCAGATAGAAGGAAAATTAACGATAAACGCCATCCCCCTATAAAGGAGAAAACTCAATCAAAAGAATGCGGTGCGCATTCGAGGATATAGAAGATCAAGAATATTCACATCTACAATATTTACAATATGCCAAATTCAGAATAATTGTTTTGAACTCCCTCCTAAAAGATCTGTTCATAATCGTGTACAACACAGGATTAATTAAACTACTGATGTTGCAAGCGTACGGCACGAGCAACGAGACATCCCGCGGGATTCTCCCCAGACTAGCGCGGGTCGTAATGATCAGTACAAATACTGGAATCCATAGCATTACGAAGGCCAGCACAATGGCGTATAAAATTTTCGTGATGTTCACCTCTCTCATTCTCATTATCATTGGGGCCTCTCCATTTTGTAATCCTTGACCGATAAGTGCGCCATCGCCATCTTCAATTTGCGGCACGTGCCGTGGTTGAATGCGTTTTATCGTTCGAGAAACTCTGCAGTAGCTGAAAACAACTGTCACAAGGGAAAGTGTGATGAAGACGCCAAGGGACACCATAAGGTAGATCTTAACCTTGTGCTTGGACGAAGGAACACACACAGCGTAGTTGGCATGAAAAGCGAACCCACCCTCGAATGCAAATGGTAGCGGCGTCATTGCAAAGAAAAGCCACACGACGATCATAGCTGTGAGGGATTTTCTCGGGGTGAAGAGTTTTTTGAACAGCTCGGGCTTTGTGACCCGAACATATCTGTTGATGGCCGTGAAAGACATGGTACCGATCGTGACGTGTGTCAGGAAAAGAACAGAAAAGCCGCAAACGAAACAGCCTACCTGCCCAAACTGCCAATGACCGCTGGCCAGAGTCACCCCCACAAACACACCGTTGGTAACGAAGTTGAGAATGTCGCTGATCGCTAAGGCGGTGACATATATGGGCGTATGCCTTCGTAACATTGGATTTCGTGCTAAGGCAGCGAACACCAGGATATTTCCCAAGAAACCAGCCAAAGCCAAAATTGTCCAAGAAATAGACTCTAGATAAACTCTAACGAAGTCACGCGCAGAGAGATCACTCGATGTCATTGTTTACTTTCTTGTTCTCTTCTTTATTCTCGATCTGCAAATGAAACGGTAATTGATTAGTTAGTTGCTGATTTGAGCGGTTTTGTCAACTATAATTACCTTGTCAATTTGGTGTAGATTTTTAGCCTCGATTTCTAGCTCACAATTTCTTTTTCTGTTTTTATGTCGCGGTGTTTTTTATGTAATTGGTCGGTTTAATACCTCGTCTCTTACATCTGCGGCGAAAAAAGGCAACTGGCAAACAATTCCACTCAAAGGCAACGTCAGGTTATTTGTTTAGCAATAAAAGAAACGATATTAACGAGTTTTTGAAAGCAGAATTATCAGCTTCATTGAAACTCCAATACTTTTAGCCTTTGTATTGTATTGCTAAATTATTAAAGATAAAGAGTTTCGATTGTTTAAAGAAAAGACGAAACAGAATAACTCGCTGAAAGCTTCTTCAATATAGACTAGACTAAAGGTGTTACAGTCTTGATTTATGATAATTTGTGATGCAAAACCAATTGTACTGGGAAGAGAATTGAGCCCTTGATGAAAAATATTACAAAACTAAATCGCATGACCTCTGGACGTAAAAGGGTTAAAAAAAACTTGAGATCAATGGTTTTACGGGAAGACGTTCTCAATGAAGATTACGTTGATTGCGGTAAATGGACACTAAATGTTTCTCTATTTGTTATGTAAAAACGTCTGGGGGCGTTCTTAAAGAATTGAATGGGAAACTGCCACTCTAAAATACAAGTGCGATTTGTAGTTCCTCCTCCAATATTGTGAAAGGTAAGCTGATATTTTGAACTGAATTGAGAAAAACGTTTGAACTGAATTGAGAAAAACGGGAGTCTAATATTACGTTGCCTTCCGCCCAGCAATGAAGCCCGTGAAATTTTCATAGGAAGTCGAATTTGCATAGGTTATGATACAAGTTTAAGCTTTGTGATAGGTCTGTGATGAGGTCTCGCCTACTAGAATATTTAACTTACTTTTGTTTGTTTAGCAGCAACAAGATGATTTCGCTTCAGACATGGAAAGTGTCGATGCCGATTCTGAGGACGAGTTAGACGCAAGCCATTTGGTAGGCAATGAAAGCGTTAAAATAGTTACGATCTTGTAAAACCGTGGACAAGGTTTTTAAAGTGATAGAGAATATCACTGAAGTTTCGCCGCATTAAAATCTTCCATGAAAATTCCTAAACCTCGTCTTCTGGCTGAAAGTCGTTTTAAGAAACTTCACTTTGGGTTTTAGTGAGTATTTGCTTTTACAGCTTGTCTCAAGCATAGAAGAGCTTCCGTGGAGGAGGAAATTAATCTACAGAATTTGTAAGGCGGAATTTTTACAACAGAAAAATTAGTCCCATCCAGATTTGTGTGATAAACATTTTTCTCTTCTTATCGTTGAGCTGCACGCAATCTGGGTCCGTTCAAATATATTCTTCCGATATCATGCAGTGTTTTGTTCCCCTTGCTTTCAAATTGCATAACGCCTTTAAATTCATTTTAAATAAATTAAAATTTATTTTCAAGTAAGACTTTTTTAGTCTGAGCGAGGCTGTATTTCTCTCTAATCGACGCTTAGATCGGGTAAACAGACAGTTCAGTGACTAGACTGTAGGATGAATATGGTAGGAAAGATTCCCTCCACCATTACGCCTAAAGATTAAGTCTAACTCGAATTTCCCACCCCGCAGGCAAAATTTGAGCCCAGGATGGGCACGTCGGTGCGTGAAAAGAGGACACAGGTTGCCCATGAAATACTTTCAACAGAGGTGGAATACATGAGATGTCTGTCTATTATTCGAGATGTCTTCAAGAAGCCTTTGCAAGCATCCCTGGCCTCAAACAGGTTTGTATTATGGAAGATATAACAATAACTGACTCAATTCAGAGCTAAGTTGCGATAAATCCAAAGACGAGTAAAGTGTTCTAGAGACAACAGACATTTCAGTTTGACTGCACTTAAGCCGATTTACCGAAAAAAAGGAAAAGAAAGTTAAACATTAGAAATTGGGAAAAAAAAAAAAAAAGAAAAACAGTTAAAAAGAAGTATTTTGATCAAAATGTTTTCGTCGAGTTACGCATGGTAATTTGTTACATAACGCGAAACTGATTTTGGAAAGGAGGGAAACTCTTTGCCGTTCTTCATCGCTCTCTTTTCTTTTCCCGTTTGTTTCGCTTTCCTTTGTTTGATTTTGTTTTCCTCTTCCCATTGATCGTAGTCTCCAATTCCATATAACTTAATATTGACAGGAGAAGCTCCAATTTTCAGCCTATAAATTCACAATAACTGAAATTAAAACTGTTCGTGCTTTCCTCACGTCGTATTTGAATTGAAACGGGAAAGAGAAAACAAAACAGACGAACTGAAAGCTATCGGGGCGAGAATAAAAACAAAAACTACACCATTACCTTACTGTATCATTCGTAAAGGTTTTGAAAAATTAACTCCTTGTTTCACAGTTGCTGCCTTTTTCCATTTAACAAGTTTTTATTTTACTATCTTAGGGCCATAATTAGTGCCGCTAACATTCAGAGTTTGTTTGCTGACAGTGAGACGCTACTGGCCCTCAGCAGGTATGCAAGTTAAGAAGGGATACAGATGGCTAAAGATTGAGGAGATGAACGAATTGCAAAAATAACGAACACGAGATGCACACTTTGACTTGTTTAATTAATTTTTTTGCCTACTGATTTCCTGGAGGCTAAAAGCAGCAGCCTGGCGCTTCAGAGTCAAAACACTACACGGTAGATTTTTCTTATTAGCAATCTCATTTTGTGTTGGATATCTTTTTTTACCAAAGTTCTCCGCATGTATTACATTTCTACGAAAACGTAGCAATATATGGAACATTAAAGGTTAAGTATGATGCACGATCCTCGCAGTAGATAGCGCTATTTAAGCAATAGCGAAAATCAGACCTGAAAAAAATCAGCCTTGTACGGGATTCGAACCACTGACCTCTGCGATAATAGTGCAGCGCTCTACCAATTGAGCTAACAAGCCATCTGGGAGCAGGCCGTTAAGTTGATTCGTAATAAACCCGTGATAATAAATCAGATACAATGAATATATGAAAGTTCATATGTTTTGAACTGTGGTTATAGATACGTATGATGCACGATCCTCGCAGTAGATAGCGCTATTTAAGCAATAGCGAAAATCAGACCTGAAAAAAATCAGCCTTGTACGGGATTCGAACCACTGACCTCTGCGATAATAGTGCAGCGCTCTACCAATTGAGCTAACAAGCCAACTGGGAGCAGGCCGTACGTATCTAATACCGCAGTTCAAAATATATGAACTTCATATATTTCATTGTATATTAAAGGTTAAGTGTGTGGAGGCGTGGTGGCCTCATGGTTAGTGCGCTCGACTCCGGATCGTGTGGTCTGGGTTCGAGCCCCGGCCGGGACATTGTGTTCTTAGGGAAGACACTTTACTCTCACAGTGCCTCTCTTCACCCAGGTGTATAAATGGGTACCGGCTCGTAAACAGACTTTACGTTTTTTTACTAAAGGTTAAGTGCCAAGTGCTGAACACAGCTCTGAACTTGGCATTTTATTAGGTATTCCTGACAGTTTGCTGGTGCTCCTCCTTAATTTTAGCCTCGCAAGGCGAAGTTCTGTGCGAGTAGATTGTGTCTATCTCAAGGAAACAGCTCAATGGCCCAGTCGGAGCTTGTACCCAATATTTTGCAGGGAAACAATTAATTACAGCTACTAATACGTCATTAACAGCTTCTCGTTTGAATTCATTTCAGTCTTCTGCTAAATGACTTGTCAAATCGATTAGACAAATGGAATTCGCATCAAGTAAGTGGACCTAAACCAAGCATGTCTCCCGTCACTGAAACAAATTAGGTTTGAGACAATTCTCACCCTGACCCAAAAGTAACAGAATCCAGTTCAAACAAATTAATCAAAGAACATATTTGCACGCAAGAGTCACAACTTCGGTTAGGTGTTAATAATTTTTGGGGCGACTTTGCTCAGATTATAGGAGATTCTTGATTTGATTTTAGTCAGAGATAAGAGGGATTTCCCTTCAACTTCTCCTAGCAGATAAGAATCTTAGGACAAGTTTCCTTTTGATATTAAAAAGAGCGATTTGCGGTCAACGTTACACTACAACCACATAATTCCTCAGAAAAGGTTAGCATTTAACTGCTCCCTAAAGTAGCGACATAATATCCGACAAAGAGGTGATGGGACTGTAACAAAACTTGTCAGCCAGACAGTTTCGTCGTTATGAAATACCAGATTCTTTCAACTTCTCAACAAGCAGATTTATAACATAACCAAAGTAAAGCGCGCGCTCTGATTGGTCAAATTAGCGTCCCCCATTTGTCCATGGGTGTACGCTGCTGACGTGAGCAAATGTAACGACTATTTTTCCGCGCGCGCTTGTTTATCTGGTCACGTAAGATTTGGTAAATAAAAGGGAACTCGTTAGCTACAATGTATCAATGTTATGTTATAAAACAAATGGTAAACACCACAGCGTACACTATTGAGTTATGGATGCAGTTGGGAGGTTTGCTAAGCACCCAAGAAGCTAGAGTCACTCTCGGCTATCGCCTCGCGCGACTCTTACGCTTCTTTCGTACTTAGCAACCTTCCGCGTGCATCTATAACTCAATAGTGTACGCTGTGGTGTTTACCATTTGTTAAGTATAGCAGCTAAAACAGAGAATTACAATTTGGATGTGAGGGGTTGAAGAAGTCAATAAAAGCTACAGCCGAACCGGTATTTAGCAGCAGCATATTCAGCGGTCTCCCTGTAGTAAGCGGTCAGTTGTCAAAGTCCCGAATTTGTTTCCCCTTAATTTTAACCTATATTAAGCCTTTGCTAAGTCTCAACGGCCTGTTGGTATTGTTTTTACCAGTATAGAACGGTCACTGAAAAAGGGACCATTCAAATAAAACTAAGAATAATCTTTCAAGAAATTTCTAATCCATATTTATCTCCCAAAATCAAAGTAAGTAGATTTTATGAGCGCGAGTCTGTTCGTTAGGTGGTCAACTTTGGCATAAAGTGGCGTTCTTTATGGTTTTTTTTGTTTTTGCTTTTGTTTTTTTTTTTATAGTACCCTAAATTAAATCTGTGGAATTGGATCTGTAATTAAGCGGTCAACCTGTACTAACAACCATTCTCCATGGTTGACCGCTTAATACAGGTTCGGCTGTAGTAAGATGCCATGATGTTTGCTTCGCTCAGTATATATCCATTGTGATTTTTCAGATGCTGGGAGACATCTTCATCAGTTTCACAAATCAGCTGCGGGCCTACACTAATTTCCTAAACAACTATCCTGTCACTCTTCAAACACTTGAAAGGGTAAGATATCTCAAGTGACCTTGAAGTTTATTGCGGTCTTTGCTCTCTTAGAGAAAAGGATAGTTACTTATTTCTCCCACAAAACTTACCTCAAGAAATGAAATTAGTCCAGGATAAGTTTTCAGTTACAATGCCTCGATCGAGGTTAGCATTGAAAGCCTCACTTGATAGGGCACTTATCAATTTAGTATCGAAAGTAATCCGGAATTTCTTTGTTTTTGCTCCACTTTGTAATGTGATTGGTCCTGAGAGAACTCACGCCTGTCTCTCAACCAATCAGAAGCAAAACTAAAACCAGTCACGATTTTGTCGCCGGCGTAACCCGCGCTTTAGACAGTTTGGTTGGTTTTAAGTTCTCATTGCTTCTTAGAGGTCGTTTCCTCTTTTCTGATTGGCCGTAGTGGTTGCTTTGGTTTTGGGTTTACAACGCTAAATCGAAAAAAACTCTTTTGCATTATATGTCATCCGATTGGATGCCATCTACAAGTATACAAGGGATCATCGATTCGCACAACATCTCATTTTCTCTTTGGTGTTGAGGGAGGAAAATCAAGCGGTTCTCTGATTAGAAGGAAGTGTTTATCATTGCAAATGAATAAAGGCTGATAGTTTCTAAAGAAACTGTTTGGGGCTGCGTCGGTGGGGATAACGAAATAATTTGGATACATCAACAAAGTTGAAATGGTAAATTGGCCACCGTAACGATTACAAAAGCTGACGTTTCGAGCGTTAGCCCTTCGCTCCGACGAAGGGCTAACGCTCGAAACGTCAGCTTTTGTAATCGTTACGGTGGCCAATTTACCATTTCAACTTTGTTGATGTATCCAAATTATTTCGTTACCCCCACCGACGCAGCCCCAAACAGTTTCTTT